CGGTTACGTTTATCGGAATCGTCTAAAATATTTAGGCAATGCAGTAATATTTAATTAGCCGATTTTGTGAAGCTATTTGTGTATTTATTGTCAAACTTTTGTCTTTGTATTAAAGTGTGCGTACGCACATTGCAGTTAATTCAAATTTGGTTTCATTTAGTGTTGTGCGTGTATGATGAATGTGTTCGTTCCCTTATTTATAAATTCTCTATGGACTTGACACACTGACACACAATGAACATGTAGCTACAAAGTTTATTCTAATTTGTTTTACCCACAAAAATCACGAATTTCCGAAGGCGCTTGATGCATTTTTATCCACCACACATTTCTCCTTAGCTGCCGTAGAAATCCGAGCAGTACAAACAAAGTCAAACATTGATTTTGCTTTTGGTTGGTAGAGCATAGTTGTTTACATATTGAGAGTTGTCGGTTGTTATAGCCCCTCTTTCCACTATTCGACACAACTGTCATATGACACATCAATATTCCATCTGATTAAAGGGCGGTAGTCGTCGCGCCACGCATGCGCGAGATATATGGGTCTTGCATAAAGAAAGAAGGCGACTATTACTGTTGCGCAGATCAACGAGTACAAACTGGAACGTTGCCAAGCTTTAATTAGGTATTTTTAGGTGATTCACAGTCACTCTACCTAGTGAGTGATTGAAAGGTATCGAAGACGTCGCCGGCGGCACGGTTACTAAAAAAGACGGTTAGGAAACGCCATTGTTAAAAGGTGTGAATCTGCCTAATCCCTCAAGGATGCGTGTCGCGCTGTGTACGCCCTCTATTGCTTGAGATTTCAAGGTCCACCATTTTGTTTCATTTTTGTGTCGATCACTTGATGTTCCGCGAATTTGAAATTTTAAGCTAGTTTTCGATAGAATATCCACGTTTAGTGAACAAGCTCTACGAAGAACCACACGTACATTTCGGATGAGTACTCTTTGTGACCCTGCCGGCGGTAATTAGTGCAAGTCGCACCCAGGTCAAACCTCGTACTTTCCATTAGAAAAGCGCATTGGATTGTGGGAAAGTAAATGTTTATCAACACAAATGTCGCACATGCACAGCGCGACAACTCTCACCCTTTAAAACTAGACGTAGGTATAGGTTGTGGTTGTCCTCAATCTGTACTCAAAACTATAAACTGGTAACCGCATCTTTAAAGCGAGCAAAGAATCTACTTATATCTAACTGTAATCGAATTAATTATGATAGCAATATTCTACGATGTAAATGTCATTATTACATCTTTGTGCCTTTGTGGCTTAATTAGTGCTTTAGCTGATTTGTCAAAATGCTTCTTTTGTCCACGCTTCTTGCTAAGTTGTGATGAAATCTTTCTTGAATTCTTAATGTGTGGATTTAGTAGTGGTTTGCTGATCGGTACTGAAGTGCGGGTTCTTCTTGACATTAATCGTTGAGCTGGAGATCCTAATGTATTATCACGAGGCACATTGCGAAGATTCAATAAATTGAGATACAAATCGGATCCTTCTCGCT